CTACCTACCTACCTACCTACCTACCTACCTACCTACCTACCTACCTAACTACCTACCTACCTACCTACCTACCTAACTACCTACCTACCTACCTACCTACCTACCTACCTACCTACCTACCTACCTACCTACCTACCTATCTCTCTCTATATATATATATATAACCCAATAACCCAATATTTTGGTAATCAAAATTTGACTCTTTGAGTCTTCCAGCGAAGTTTATACAACAATCTGCACAAACCCAAATCTGATCCATCTAATGAGGGAAAGGTTTGCTCAGCTTGCTCATTTCAGGTAGAACTTGCTGATTTATATAGGTAGAAATGTCTTTAGTTGGGGTTTGGAGAAACATCCCTCCTCCTGCACTATATTTCTAACCCTCAGTATTATCTGTAATCAAAGGGCTTAGAAAAAAGCAACCTGGAGCAACAAGCCCCGTCATGTGTTTGGCTGGATCTTGACAGCTTTCGTCAACCACAGCTGAGCTGCAAGCTCTGCTCCATCTGAAGCTATTCAGAGACATTCCTCACTTTGCTTTTGCTCCGGCACCTGTTTGACCTTTGGAGTGACCGTCAGGTCCCCCAAAGCCCCCAAAAAACAAGTCAACCAGAGGACAAAACCCATCCCAGGAGCTCCTCTTTCCAGACGCCTGGGACAGAAGAAGCTCCTGCAGAGATTGTGTTTGGACGCAGATTCATAGACTTCCACACAGCTTTTCCTAATCTTCCTCCCCCCCCCCGCCCCCCCGGGGCTGCGTGCAAACACCCAAATCCCTCTTCAATCTGCAGGTCTCTACTGCGTCTGCTGGGGCGCGGCGTTGTTTGCCCGCTCTGTTTGTAGTCGCGCAGACGGCCGGGGGCTGTTTGCCCGCCTGTTATGTCACCCAGGAGGAGGAGAAAGGATTCCTCTAAATCTGTCCCCCCTTTCAAGCCCCCGAAAGGGGGGAAAAAGCAACAGGACGAAAGGCTCCGGCTCCAAGCACCCAAGCCGGCCGGGCCCAGATCTGAATCGGTGACAGTTCCAGCGCAGGTTGTTTTCCTCCGACAGAAAGTTTACCCTCGCTTACCTAACCGACCCAAATTAAACACCTCTGCGGGGGGAAAAGGGGCCTCTTTATGAGCCTGAAGTTTCCCTTTTAGCCTCCGTCCTGTTTGATTATGAGAGCAGCTTTCCAAATAAAATAATTTGCTTTTGCAGTTACATCAGAGCGTCCAGCCTCCTCCTCCGTCCTGCTGAGCCCACTGACCAAACGGGAACCTTTTAAACACCGTAGCAGCGCCGCGTCCCTCCAACTCAAACACCAGCGCAAACGCTCTTTTTCCTCCCTCTCTGATGACATTTACTTCTATTTTCACCGGTGCGCGACACGCACGAAGAGCTTTTACTGGAAATGTCCCTTTTTTATTTTTAGCTCGGCTTTTCAAAGGCACAGACAAGTTTCCTTGTGTACGAGGTTATTTGGAGACGTCGCCGCGCGCATCCAAGGTTTTTCTGTAATTTTCCATGTCCGAGGCTGCATTTTTACCCAAAGCTGGACATTATTTGCACACTCACAAAGAGCGGGCCGTTAGGAAGGAAAGGGAATAGAGCTAAAAGCAGCATTCAGGTCACAAGAAACTGATTTAATCTTTGATTATTAGCATCAGTCTGCCCGAACACATGATAATCCAAAAGGAAAGAAGCCTCATTTAAATCAAAAGTCCCACATAAACTTGACTCGAAGGCAGCTTTCGGTCTTTGTTGGTGGTGGAGCTGGAGCTGTTAGTGGGAATCAGGCTCTCGGGTTTCTTTTGCATAAAGTACAACTTTTCTGAGGATGAGTCTCTCTATCTCCTCCTGTGCTAACCTGTCATGGGGTGTGCCACCTGGCTCCATTCATGGGCCTCGTCTTTTTTCTCTGTCAGTCCATTTATATGCTGACGACAGTTCAATCTACTTCCCTCTCAACCAGTGGGATGTGTGTTGTGTTCAGCCCCTTCTTGCCTGTTTTAGACAGACAAACACTTTGTTAGTGTTTTTAAAATGGTCAGTAGTACCAATGGAAATCACAGAGCTCATACTCATTTTTATATTCCCCGTGATTTGGTCTGGAACAGATTCATAAATGTAAAACCAACGTGGTTTTGTTTGGTCCCGGTTGGTTGGATTGTTGCTGCTCTCTATTTTTAGTAATTAGTCAAGTCCCTTTTTTCCTGCTTCACTTCATGGAAGATTATTTTAACAGAAACCAGAGCACATTATTCTGGATCTAGCTTCCTTGCATTCTCTTCCTGTTTACATTAGGATTCATTTTACAGTGCTCCGCAGAGCACACAGGGTTAAATCTGGATGTTTTGGAGCTCAAAGTCTCCATTTTAGGTAAAGAGCTTTATTAAAAGCTTCCAGACTTCAACAGATCTGCTGTAATTTAGCTACTTTTTAAAGCAGCACCGTTCTTTCTCCATTTCAGGACTTTATCATCAGATTAGCTCCCGTCTGCTTCACTTAGTGACACAAAGTGGAATTATTAGTTCTGCTATCAAACATCCAGCAGGTTGTTTGAGGCTTTAAAGGAGCAGAACCAGGTTTTTAGAGGAGATGAATCCTGTTGTTTACTGGTTTTGTGACTGGATCAGGAGCTTAGCATAAAAAAAATGTCTGCAACTAAACTTTAACCTACCAGAAAAAAAAAACTAATGTGACTAACTAGCCCTGTGAATATTTAATTTATGGGTAAAAATTAATCAAAATGTCTCTCTGGTATTTTAAAGAAAAAACACTTTTGAGCTTATTCAACTTTTTGTTGATCGAAAGCAACAATAGTAGCTAAATGAATACAAACAGAAGTTTCGGCTCCGGAAAAAAACAACATTTTTTTGGTTATATGCGTTTAGATCAAAGGATTTCATGAAGAAAACACTGTGTAATCATTGTTATTCACTGTGAAGTGTCACTGAAAGAGAGGGCTGCTCTCTCCGGTCACGCTCTGCTATCTGATCGCGCTGCTAGTTGCGGGGAAAGAAAACACATTTCACACAAGTATTTTAAACCTAAAGCAAACATGTCAGTCATTTCCAAAAAGGCGAAGCTGATATCTGCAGCGCCGTGAACCAAACTGTTGCCGTCTGAGTGTCCCGTCTCTCTCCGGGGGGGAGGCTGTGACTGGATCAGAGCAGAAGCTCAGCCTTTTCCCGGCGTGTGTCCGGACACGTTGAAATGCCGGCGGTCCCGTTCTCTGGCTGGTCAAAGTCAGTTGAATTTTCCGGGTCTCAATGACCAAAAACCGGGCCCGGTGGGGTTCGTCTTCCGCTGGCCTCTGAACCGAGGCGCTGGAATCCAAACCATGCTGCGTTCTGCTTTGTCCATCCATTATCATTACTGCTTAGTCCCTAATGGGGTCACGGGGAGAACTGGAGCCTATCCCAGTGGGAAATGGGCGAGAGGCGGGGTACACCCTGGACAGTCCGCCAGTCCATCACAGGGTTACACAGAGACACACAAGGACCAACAACCACACACACTCACTCCTAGGGGACAATCAAGCTAACATACATGTTTTTGGAGGGTGAGAGGAACCCAGAGAACCCACAGACACAGGGAGAACATGCAGACTCCACCCAGAAAGATCCTGGTTCCCCCCAGGATTTGAACCCAGGACCTTCTGGCTGTGAGGTAATGGTGCTGACCACCACACCACCGTTCCGCCTCGCTCTCCTTTGTAAATCTCAATATTCTATAATATTAATGTACTAACTGTGCCGGTCCACTTCATTGTCGTCGCCCTGCATGAGAAACTTCCCCGAGAGCTGAGAAAAGAAGCGAAAGGAAGCAGATAACGGGCCTTGTTTTGAGGAGTTCTCGCAGCCAGACCTCAAAGAGGCTCTTAAAGTGACCCCTATGCTCCACCGGCACTCTGCTGGCAGGGAGATTATTCAGGCTGTTGGGGGGGAACAGCTGATTTCATGGAGGTGAAGAGGGAGATAATAGACATCAAGGGGACGACCGAGCAATGCCAGGGTCCGTTTCCAAACAAAGGGGCCCTTATTTAGTCTTCAAGAAGAGAGGAAGAGATTTTTTTTTTTTACATTGAGTTTGACACAATGGATGCTCAGACGGGCCAACGGGAGGGGGGAGAGAAGATGGATCCAGACAGGGGGGCTTTTCTCACGACACGCAACAGGAAGTTTGCGAGTTCCTATCTGAAGGAGTGGATGCTTTCCAACATGTGCTCTCTGGGACCCTAAAAAGAACTCTTGTTTTTTACTTGAACTGAGGCTTCCCGAAGCCAAAGCAGACACAATAAAGATAAGAGAGCACAGGTAGCTTTTTTAAATAATGTTCAAGACATTTCCAAACATTTTTGTTTTTAAAACACCAAAAAATCTGATTTACAGACTAAATCTTACCATATTCTTTTCAAATTAGGACCCAGCAGGCAAGGAAACGGGTTAGATTTGTTCATAAAAGAAAACAAAAAGGATGGAAAAGGCTGGAAAAACAAACACTGATGGAAGGAATAAACGCTGCAGTGGGAAAAACCGGAAGATGAAAGGGGGGGCGAGGGAAATCATTTAAGGGTCCAAAGACTTTTCTCTGGGGTTGTACTGCTGTTTTTTCCTTTTTTGTCTATTTTTCAGCTTTCAGGGCCTGTAAAAGTACAAACATGTGCCTTGGGGTCCAGTTATTCGTCATAAAAGGTATCAAAATCAGGAAATTACCTCTGAAGAGATTAATGTGTTCCCACAATGCCCCTATTTTTAACAGCTGAGAGAATTGAGAGAATTGGACATAAAGACGAGTAAGTGACCAGCAAATGAAATAATAAATGGGAGGGTTAAATAATAATTGGAGACAGCAAAGGTCAGAGCACTGAGGAGACTATGGATGAAGACCAGAAACAGGAAACGACAAAAAAGAAGAACGATAGAGAAACGACCAAAAAAGACACCAGAAAACACAAAATCGATCAGATGAGAAAAAAACGAAGCCAGAAGGGAATCAAACCAAAAACCCAGAGAGATCAGTAACTCATCTTTGCCCTCAAGGGGGCAAATTTACGTCGATTTTGTCAGACTTTGATGCTCAAATCTTCTTGACTTGTCGGAATACATGATGTGTTCCAGCTAAGAAGTATGAAAAAGCAAGATTTTTGGATTTGTTTAGGCACTTCACTGCGAATATATAGTAACATGATTGATATTATGGCTCATTTAAGAGTGGAGGATGGAGGATTTACCTGTAAGTGACGAGTAAAACAAGTACATGAGAGCATACGAGAGAAAAGTAACTAAGTCGGACCATTTAACCCTGCTTTTTGTAAACAGCACGCTCAGAAATCTAATCTAAGCCTGTAAATTACCTTTGAATTATGACTAATGTTCCTTTAAATCATGAGAAATATTTACATCAACGCTGTGTTCCAGCAAACCTTTGAGTTGAAACATGCGAAACGGTTGTTTTACGATAAGTATCTGTAAAAAGCGTAGGGCTCCCAGCCATAATATGACTATTATGGAGAAAAGCTTCTGCTGAGGCGGCTTTTTCCACACAGAGGTGTGGCGGAAAAACTAGTGAAAACACGTCGCCTCAGGTGGAGCAAAAAATGTTCCTGTGGAGGAGCACATAAAGGCCGGAGCTGTTTACTGCTCGGTTTCCACCCAAAGAAGCAGAACAATGCGCCCAGCGAGCCGCTTACGGATTCACGCTCTCCGCCGGGGACAAAAATCCTTTGAAATCATGACGTTCTGGGGAGGAATCCTCCGAACAAAACCGTAAACAGCCCCAGATAGTTTGGGCACAATGTGCTACAGACGCAGGCCACAGTGAGCGTTCTGTGCGAGGGCCTGAGGAGGCGTTTAGGGCCGGGCCACATGTTTCCAGATGCCCGGAAAATGGTGATTAGACATGCAGTCTTTGGACTCTTCTTTAACGCCACTTCATCAAAATACTGATTTATGGGGCTTGACAAAAGAAACTTCCAACTTTGTGGTCCTGCTTATTTTCATTGTATAATACACTGCTCCTTTTTTAAAAAAAATATAAATGCAGTATAAGTTCCAGTAAAAACAGATAAAATTTCAAGATTTGAATTAAAACACAAGCCAAACATTGCAGTTTCGGGTGGGTTTTTTTTTTTAGTCAGACAGACTTTTGGTTTTAACCAATTGATAAACCCTCGATCAGTCTCATTTTATTGACAATTTCCTTTAAATTCCATGAACTGAATCTAACAAAATCTATTCGATTTATTCATCTTTAGAAGCAAATCAGATGCAGCAGTTCATAAAAGTAAAAACACAATTATAACGTCATTATCAGCCTAGTAGTTTTTAACATAAAGAAGCACGAATGATTTGAAAAAGACAAAATATATATTTCTTTACGTCAAGATTGTTAAACCTTTGGTTGTTTTTAGCTATTTCACTTTCTATTGTAAGGGAGATAACACTAAAAAATCAAACGATGCTCAGTTATTGGGTTTAATATTAATAAGTGTTATTTATTATGTGTTTTTTTTATTGAAAATGACAAAAAGGTCAAAGAAAGGAGTCATTCGAATATCTTTTTTCCATGAATTTTTTTTTCATCTGTAAAAAAAACCGACTGCTTTTGGTTTTTGTGAGCTGTTGGGCCTGATGGAAACCTTTTTTCTATGCGTCTCTTCTCAGACTTCGAAGATGAGGGTGTGGATCGTCTTCCTGTTGTGCCTGGCCGGCCACGCCATGGCCGCCCCGGTGAGTGTCTCCTGTGTGTGTGTGTGCCTCCGCCCTCGCCCGCTCGGTGTGTGTGTGTGTGAGGATCTGTGGGGTGTTTCCCTACCGTTGTGCGATCGCAAACTTCCTGCCTTCACGTGTGTTTTCCCGTGTGTGTGTGCTTTAGACTGAGGAGGAGCCCGTTGTGGAGGAGCTGGTCACAGAGGAGCCAGTGGTGGAGGAGCCAGTGGATGAGGTCAGTCCAGATGTCCAGATGTTGCTCTGGTTCCACCGGTAGCTCCGTGAAAACCAAAGCGAGCTCTATTTAGGGTTCGCGTGGCACCTTTCCCAAATCACACTCTGCCACAACGCCGTATTATCTTTCTGTGACTTCTGTTTGGATTTAAAGCCACTTTAAAGCCAGTCTGTGCAAAGCAGGTGGTTAAAGGGCTCGTGTGTGTAGGGGCCTGTGTAACATAATCCCACCCAGAGTGAACTGTGAAAGCAGGGCAGGATGTTTATGGTATATAACGCTCAGAAATCCTGTTTACCTGCCAACAAAAGCTCATTGTTCGCGGCCCAGTTAGCACACAGACAGATGGAGTCCTGATCATGCAAAGGTTGGTGGTTTGATTCAAAGTCTTTCAAATGTCTAAATGGCAAAAAAGTGTCTCCTAAATGTGTCTCTCTAAATATTAAGGTTTGGCGAGCATGAACAGACCAATTTAGAATACAGGTTAGACTTTTTTTTAGAGTCAGATGGACTCTTTTAGGTGATTTTCTCTCAAAAAATGGTATAAAAAAAAAAACAAAAAATAAAAAACAGAGCCAATCACCAGCTGCAGAGCATCCAGAGCTCTGCGGAGCATCATGTCACAACATTGGAATTTCCTCTGGATGAGGCGACCGTTTCCCATTTCTGCTGGACGTCCAGCTTTGTCCGCTCCTCCAAACACTTTTCCCCAGAGGAGCGGCGCAAACTGCCAGTCCGTGCCGCATTTTTCAGCTTTTTTTCATTTCCTTGCGTGTGGAGGGAGAACCTATTCAGGGAGCTGCCTCTCCGCCTCGTTTCCCACCTCAACCCGCAGCAGGCCCCGCCTTTGGCGCCAACTGATGCCAGAGTAACCCCGTTTTGCCGTTAGAAAACCAAATGCTTTGTTTGAGAACACTTTCCTCAGATGTGACGAGGATTTTTTTGACAAGGGTGGATCTCAGGGAGGACTCAGTTGTTCTAAAAGGTTTTATTGAACCAAAAACGCACTCAAAAGGAGACAAAGTTCAAACAAGGCAGACAAAACTACGAACAAAGTATCAAATCAAGTAAACAAGACGATGAACAAAGTATTAAATCAAAATCTCACGTGACCGAGGCAAAAACAAAACTGTGAATAAAGTGCAAAATCAAGGGGACAAGGGGAAATTAGGACTATTTAAACACACGAGGGAAGGGAACCCCAGGTGAACACAATAGGTAATCAAGGAAGAAATGACAACACACCAGAAATTCCCCCAGACGTGACTTTTTTTTCCCAGATTTTTCCCTTTTGTTAGCAATCCCCTTTTTTAAAAAGCATCTGAGAGCAAACGCTGTTATTTGGACCTCCTTAGTGACCTAAAAACACCGTTCCTGTGAGCCCCCTTTGACGCGGATTTCAGCGCACGAGGGCCGTCATGTGAGCTTGATTTGGCAGACTGCTTTCTGAGCCGTGCAGCTGCTCAGATCTGATCTGAGTCGGAGCTCAAGGCTTTAACTCGGCAGCCAGACCTGACGGAGTTTCCCATGAACAATTCACTGTTGACCAATCCGCCTCAATAGGAGTCAAACCACCAAGAAAATGACCAGGAGCCATAGAGACCCCCCTCCCTCTTCCTGTGCGTGCGCCTCCTGTCTAAATCTGACATGGCCGCCATGTTGAACCAGTTTAAACAGTGGCTTTTGGTGTTTTGGACTCTTAAAATAAATCTTCCCTCAAACCTCTGAAGAATTTTGATTATTTTACCCAAATAGCACCTTCTCCCTTCGAGTTTCTCTTTAGACAAAGCTGGTTTAACCTCTTAACCTCAGGGTCTGACTCCTCTTATTCATTCTTTCCAACAAGGGGGGGACAGGTTCCAACTCTTTCCACGTCCTTCCCCTATTAGGGAAAAAAGAGCACGATGTCGTCCACAATCGTCTGTAAAAAAAAAAGCAGAAAACGTTCAGCTTTCATGTGAAGGTTTTATGGTTTCCTGCTCCAGAGGTCCAGCGGGACCAGAGATCCCACAGCTGTTAATTTTAGCCTCTGGCTCAGCTGGTCAGGAAGCCATTTTTTCATAGCTCCACCACATGTGGACCCAGATGCCCGTTAATGTTGGATATCGCAGTCTTCCAGACTGCGTTTGGTTACCTTCAAAGGGCCATCTTGCAGAAATAAAACGAGGAATTGAACCTATCGGGGGGGAAGCGCTTTTTATTTCGGATTCTCCGATGACCCACGGAGAGCTTGACTCTGACCTCTGACCTCTCTGTTCCTCAGGAGCCCGAGGTGGGGGCCAACCCAGTGCAGGTGGAGGTTGGAGAGTTCGACGAGGCCATCGACCTCGTGGAAGAGGATGTTGCTGCTGAGAGTGAGTCCTTTTGGCTGTTTATCTTGTCCATGACGTCCCACGAAGCGAGTTTACCCAGCTTCAAACAAACGAAGGAGTTTTCAGAAAACGTCAGAGTAAACATCTTTATATGTTCAAAACCAGAAAAAGCCTCCTCATTATAGCTGCCTTTAAACTGAAGCCACGCGGCTGTCCCTGGTTTGAAGTGAATCGTGAAACCAAATAATATGAACAAACCTGGTAACTAGTCATCTTTCTGTAAAGCGAATCCAAATCAGTCAAGAAATGCCCGTTTTAAACTATTTACGATAATTAAATCTTGTGTGCTAAGTGCCAATAGATCTCCTATGAAGATATTTACAGTTTGTTGTAGACAATAGGAATCCAGCTTATTACATTCCAATTGAGTCCAATTCATGTAGAAACAATCCAGATGTTTTTTTAAGAAAAAAACCTGTATTTATAGCAACTTTCCATGTTAAAAGACAGCTCTTTCCTCTTCTTTTTCCTTTGTCAGCACCAGTGAAGACAAAACGCCGTGGCCACTCTTTTCCCATTTATGGGTTAAAAGTGTATTTCTAAAAAAAATAAGCCTGACTTGGAAGCATCTCAGTTTAATAGAAAAGCTACATAATACATCCCTGTTATTTATGTCAAATATACGACTCTGGATGTCAAAATGATTCTTCGCCTTTAGGCAAAATGTCTAAAAATCACCCAAAAACGGGGTTTGAGAGCAGGGATTTGGGAGCGTTGTTGTATTTCTGCTGTCAGATGACTCTAAAGGAGGTTTTCGACGGACAAACCTCGGGTGCACTGACAGGGTGCCCTGAGGCCTTCAGCGGCTGGTCTTTGCTCTGATTGGCTGTGGCTACGCAGGTCTGGGCGCTCTGCGAAGCCTCGAGCTGGCAGAGCAGGCGGCCGTAATAACAGGCTGTCTAATTCCAGCCGGCAGACGGCGGTGATTACACGTTGCGCCCGATTGCGGGAGGCGGCTAAGCTGCAGCTGTGAGGGGACGAGCTGTTCTGAGACAGAGAGGCCAGACGTCAGCCACAACAAAACACGAGAACACCGACAGTTTCTGCACCCATCTACAAGCCTGATGTTTATGCATCGAGCAGACACTTTTATTCAAAGCAACTTAGAAAGTAGAATATATACATGTGTATCCCCGTCTGGGATTCGAACCCCTGCCCTCCTGTTTAAGAGGCTGGGACACTAAATACTGTACTTACCCCCACCCCTGATGAGTTGATGTCTCATTCAGCATGGGGAAGATTTCCTCTATTTTCAAGATATTGGTTAAAATCAATGTCTAGCAAAAGAAAAAATCCAAAAAGAAATCTAAGATAATGAAAGTCAACGGACAGATCATTCTCTTTTCAAGTCATTTATTTGTTTCACTTTTTATCTATATTTATAAAAGGTGACTAATCGCAAATACGTTTTTAATGTATTTTCTAAGTATTGTCCCTAAAAAAAAAGAAATGACTCTTTTTTACAGTTTCTTTTAACACGATGAAGTAGGTTAATCAAACCTGTGACATGATACACAAGGTAATGAAAGAGTTAAAGATCTACCAGAAAGTCAAATGAAACTGTCCGGGATCTAAACATTAAAGTATATTTGGCTATTTAACTATTCTATATCCTTTCTTTGCACATTATGCACTAAGAAATGGTATTTTGATGTTAAAAAGTGTCATTTTGTTTATATTCTGGAGCTAAACTGATCATCCTCTCCTGGTGACACCAACCAGGACAAATAAGACCTTTGTTTTTGCATGTTTTTACTAATTATCGGCTTATAGGACATTCCCATCACATGCCAGACCCCCCTCTGAGCACAGAGAAAACTCTACGATTCGTTCTCAGCTTGTGAAAGTTTCTGTGTTTCTTAATAAAGCAGCTCGGCCTCTGTGTGTGTCCCCCCCCCCCCGCAGACCCCTGTCTGAACTTTAACTGCAAGAAGGGCAAGGTGTGTGAGGTCGATGACAGCAACACCCCCCTGTGTGTGTGCCAGGACCCCTCCACCTGCCCCGCCGCCGAGGCCGAGTTCGAGCACGTAAGTTCACAGTCAGGGTCGCAACACTTAGTCAAACACTCGTTTTAGCTAATGTGGGCTGTCAAAAAAGCCCCAGTCCATCCACTAACTGCACCACCTGTTCCCAGCGGGGTCACTGGGGGGGCCGGAGGCAGTTCCAGCTGTGATTTGACGAGAGGGCGGGTCAACAATGAACCTAAATTTGATGTTTTTGCTCCCTTAAGCGTCACCAGGGTCAAACCTATGTTCCTCGATATCCGTCTGACGAGCTACTCCATCAGAATTTCTCAAATCTTTAAAGAATCTGGCCTTCACAATGAGCCGTTTTGCCCCTTTCAGGTCTGCGGCACTGACAACAAGACCTACGACTCGTCTTGCCACTTCTTTGCCACCAAGTGTGCTCTGGAGGGAACCAAGAAGGGCCACAAGCTGCACCTGGACTACATCGGGCCATGCAAATGTGAGTTCCCACAACACGGGGCTTGGTTAAACTTTCCGTTTTTACCTCTAAACTGACTCTTGATCATCTGAATCCAAACAAACAACATTCCTTAGAAACCAAATGATGAACTTCTTCTCAAGACTCGACCAGTTCACTTCAAAAAATCCAAATATGAGATTATTTGATACATTTTTGTTCCCAAATATTGTAGATAACATACGTTCCCCCCTTTACCTTCACCTTTTGAGGCACAGGGACTGGCCTATAAAAGGTCAATGCTATTCATCCCTTTGACACAGCAAATAAGAACTCAAAATAAAAAATATATAAGGAAAATACTGTGTATATAATATTCGTGTTATAGGCTTATTAATGAGGAACCAAAGAAGGAGCTTGAATTGACCTGACCTTAGAAATCATGCTGTAAGCTGCAGTTTTTCACTTATTTTTGTTCTAATTCTACATGTTTTACTCATAAAAAGTGCTCGGTTCAAGGTTAATCAACAAAGGTTAGGGTTTGAAATGAAACCGTCCCTAAAAAAATTAAATGAAAATTAAATATGTTGTGCAGTGGAAAGCTCAGCCAGATTGAAAATGAAAGAAATGCAAAAAAAGGAATAAAAAAAAACACAACTAATCAGATTTCAGAGCAGCTCATCTGTGTTTGAAGGGTTTGTTTGTGGGGAAAGAATTGTCTCTCACATGTGGTTTTAAAGGGGGTCCTCCACCTTGGCACATCTGTCCTCCAGGGACCAGATGTTGATGCTGCTTTTTCAGTCAGAAATAAAACTGCCCTGCTGCCCATTTCAGAGGTTACTGTTGGGGTTGGTTTGTTTTCAGGTGAATTTACAATAAACAGTGACCTCACAGAGGAGGAAAACTTGGAAAAACCGATGACAATTTGTGGGGAAATTGCAGATCTGAAAGAGAAAAACCTTCATATCTGTTAAAAATAAAGAGCTTCCATGAAAATCCACCATCATGCTCAACTGTTTGTCCACCTCAGCCTGGAGGGGAAAGCATCATTTCTGGCTGTTTGAATGGAAAGCAAAAAAGAGAGACTTATCTGATCCCTTCCAGTGGAATTTTATCTGCCGGACGGGCTCTCGTGCGTCTGTCTGCCGGTGAGATCCTGTTTGCTCTGGCCTGGTGTGCTCTCATGCGTGTGATGAGCTAAAGAGCCGAGGCCGAGGCGTGCTGTCAGCGCCCGCTGTGTGAGATTGACGGCTGCCAGAAAGCTCGAGTCGGGACATGCCTGCACCTTGAATCGGCCTCAGGGTGCAGCTGCACTGGGTCCACGAGGGTGAACGTTTAGACGGAGGCTCTCGCTGTTTGCAGGATTTGAGTTGGACCTTATTTAGCTCTCATAAGGGCAGCTTTTAATCACTCTTGAGATCTAACACTTCTATATCACAGAAGGACTGGCTTTGAACTGATGAAGTAAATAGTTTCAGTGGTTAATTACTCATTAACTCATTGGCTGCCAAAGACGTCTTAAAACGTCAATTCAAATCCAACCGTTCGCTGCCAAAGACGTCTATAGACGTCTTTTATTTTTTTTCAACGAGAGTGGCAGGGGGACGATCTGCTAAAGCTTGTCCGTAAATATCAGGCTTCTAGACAGAGTATGTAGTAACAAATTTACCCTCTAGGTAGCTGTGCCACTTTTGATGGGATGTGAGCATAGACTGTAGACAAATAAGAAAAAACGCAATAGTTCGCTATGAGAGAACATGTCGCCGGTGAGACGCAAGTAGAGGAAGAACGGAATAAGGTAGAAACTAATTTTTTTCCTGATGAAAGAAGAGAGTCTACTCTTTCTTTTGGTGTGTTCGGTGTTTACATAGTCATAGCACAAACTATTCTGTGGCTCTTGAAAAATCAGTCAAAATGCTCAAAAATTTCTGGCAGTATGGGACTCTCTGTTCTGAAAATGGCTGGCAGTCAATGAGTTAAATGCATGTTTAACAACTTCAAATTTGTCATTTTTTTAACAAAATTGATTTAGAAAATACACATATCCATTTTAACTGAAGTTTTGATCTGGAACATGTGGAAAACGTGCACATTTTGTGGGACTTCCGTGCAGCCTCGGAATGGACTGTGTCTCTCTGGATGCCAGACTTGTTGTTGACTCACTTCCTTCTTGGAGGACTTTAACTGGAGGCATTTATTTTAGCTTAGCCTGAGCATTTTGGTGGGGTTGGACCTGCTCTCTGAACACCGGGAGGCTTCGGAGGAGAAGCTCTATCATTTTCTGTGTTGACATCAGTGTTTACCGAGTCTGAAGCTCTGATTGGACCCTCAAACGGTGACATCATTCAGTCTGAAAAGTTTTTGGCTTTGGACTGAGGGGGTAACGTGTAAGGACAGAGGGGGATGGTGGGAAATATGCAACATTAAGACATGTGAGGGGAAAGACACTTGAGCTGGAAATGTACTTTCTCCAAAACTGGAGGAAGTAGAAACTAAAATCCAAACTAACCTGACTAAACACAACCTGAGAGGAGCGAGAGACACAGCTAAACAACGAGGCATAAAGAGCGTCTGGCAAAGGCTGAGAAAAACCAGGGAGCTTAAATACTGAGGAGGATGATTGGTGAGGCAGATGGAGGGAGACACAGAGGAAACTTTGGCTGACGATGAGAAACAAACCAGAACTGAGGCACAACAAACCCAGTTTAACTCCATATTTTCCTCCCTTTTTGTCTTATTGGGTCTCTTTGCCTTCTCATAAAGACAAATACTCGTTTATCCTTCTTAGTGAACTTGTTTCTACCACATTAGATATATTTTACATCTATTTCTATAACGTGGTATAAAAAAGAGCTCATGTACTGAAAATTAGAGCTAATTTTGAGTAAAAATGTCAGGAAACTGGAATGATTTGGACTATAATTTCGATCAGAGGTTAGTTGGGATGTTTATTTAAAACTATTACATCCTTTTAATTCTTTTAATCCTCTATTTTAGAAAACTGTGTGGATTATAAGTGTTTTCGTTTGACCCGAAATCAACTGGAGAAGTAAAAAAAACAAAGACCAGAGGGAAACTAAGCAGACAAAGCGACCCCTGACCCATGAAGTGGCCGTTGTGTGGCAGGAAGTTGGAGTTCCTGGTGTCAGGTTTGTCTGGATGACTGGTTTTAATGAATCCCCCCCCCCGCAGACATCGAGCCCTGCCAGGACAGCGAGCTGAGCGAGTTCCCCCTGCGCATGAGGGACTGGCTGAAGAACGTGCTGGTCACTCTGTACGAGCGCGACGAGGACAACAACCTGCTGACCGAGAAGCAGAAGCTCAGGGTGAGTGAAGCCTCCTTTCCACCGGCTCAGGACCGACTCTGGTGGTTCCGCAAAGAGAACCGGGCCAGATGGAAAAACCCCCTGCTCTGAAAAAAACCCAACAGAGAGGATCAGATGTAAACGTTGTCTCTCCTTCTGGTTATCCAGAAAAAACTCTGCCACCTCCAGAAGATTAAACCGGATGAATTCATTGTATTTCAGGGGTGAAAAACAGACATTTTGGAAGAATTTTAAAAATGACATAACAAAAACACCTACGATAGAAAAAGAAAGGTGACGCACAACAGTAATACAATACTTATCTGAGAATATTTGTAATAAATTCTGTTTCTTATTGTAACCACTGAGTGGCCATTTAGATCCATTACTCACATTCATACAGCTTGTTTTTAAACAACACCAATAATTATTATGCAAACTCCATACAGAAAGGTTCTGGTTCCCCCAGGGACTTGAACCCACAACCTTCTTGTTGTGAGGCAATGGTACTGACCACCATGCCACCCCATTACAAAACCTACCATACCAATTACAACAAGAATAAGAATCATCTTTAAGTTGTGTGTAGCCTTTATTCAGGCTATTAGAAAGGGAAGAACATGCATATTATTTCACCAAAAACGCTTTTTTAAAGAGTTGAATATTTACCTTAATGTATGGCTGGATAACACATTTTGAACAACTTTTCACACATCAGCTCCTGATATGATTTCAAATAAATAACAAAAACAGCAGATCTGTGCTGAAATGTGGCCCCTGAACCCCTTATGGAGGGCTTAGCCTGCGTCTTAGCCTCTGAGACTCTGCTGGAATTGAACCCCGTCTGTGGAATCCTTCAGGTGAAGAAGATCTACGAGAACGAGAAGAGGCTGCAGGCCGGCGAGCACTCCCTGGACCTGCTGGCCCACGACTTCCAGAAGAACTACAACATGTACATCTTCCCTGTCCACTGGCAGTTCGGCCAGCTGGACCAGCACCCCGACGACGGGTAGGCGCCCGCTCGCGCGGTCGGCTTCTGGCCTCGTTCCCGAGGCGTTAAATCCCTGACTGTGCTTGTCTTTCTGTGTGCGTGCGCCCCCAGGTACCTGACCCACTCCGAGCTGGCCCCCCTGCGCGCCCCCCTCATCCCCATGGAGCACTGCACCACCCGCTTCTTCGAGGCCTGCGACGCCGACAGCGACAAGTACATCGCCCTGGAGGAGTGGGCCGCCTGTTTCGGCGTCAAGGAGCGTGAGTTACCCGCCGGTTCCCCCCCCCCCCCCTGAACATGCACAGGGAGACGTTGTGTCCATCAGTCAGAGGGGAAGTTTTTACCCCGTTATGTCCCCTGGGGCGGCACGGTGGTGTGGTGGTTAGCACCATCACAGTGAGAAGGTCCTGGGTTCTAGTCCCGGGGGAACAAGGACCTTTCTCTGTGGAGTCTTCATGTTCTTCCTGTGTCTGTTGGTTCTCTCCGGGTTTTCCGGCTTCCTAACACAGTCCAAAACCCTGGATGTTAGCTTGATTGGATATTCCAAATTACCTTTAGGAGTGAGAGTGAGTGGTTGTTGGTCCTTGTGTGTCTCTGTGTGGCCCTGTGATGGACTAGGGACCATCCAGGGTGACTCCGCCTCTCGCCCGTTGACTACTGGGATAGGCTACAGTCCCCCCGCGACCCCATTAGGGAAGAAGCAGTAACGATAATGGATGGATGGTGAAACTTTTAGGCTCCTGTTTGAAGTATCTTGTTTTTCATTTTATGTACTTGTTTTATCGGATTACTTCCGATAAAACACGCAAAAAAATAGGCATTTAGCTCTGAATAAAGCCTTCACAACTCTTCAGGTTGATATTTTCTGGCATAAAACCCTCATTAACTTTGTCACTAACCTGTAATTTTGTGTTTTTTTGTGTTTACAGAGGATGTGGATAAAGACCTCATCGTCTAAAATCCTCTGACCTGCAGCAGCATGACAGACAACGCTAGTCGCTACTAACCGGACAAGGTGCTGATTCAGAAGATTAAAAAAAAAAAAAACTCAGTTAAGGTGCTAATTGCAAATTCTTTTTATTATTTTCTAATGATTTTTCCTGCCTATACCACTAAAATAAGATCCCAAAAGAGAAACATGCACAGTCTGTAGTAACCATCACGTGTTCACGCGTTTGAATTCTTCCTGTTGGTAGAGCAAAAACTCCCAGTAAAGAAAACTAAAGACCTCTGATGTAAATTTACGTCGTTTGACAATATTGTGTGCTGTATTTGTTATGATGTGTTCAGGGCTTTTTAATTGGAGACCACATTATCTTACGGAGACGAAGCTGTAAAGTCAAAAATAAAGTTTCTAAATAAATGCTCCTTCTGCTTGCTTTCTACATCTCAGATTGCTGCGTTTTTTGCCCTCTTCTGGTGGTGGATTTTGCCTTGCCTGTGTTGTTTTTGTGCTTTTGGTTGATCTATAAACCTCCGAGCAGAGTCTGGTATTTGAGAACGTTAAAGACGATGTTTTGTTTTGTTTTTTTTATACGAGGGGGACGTCTCGCAGGCTGAGAGTTTTTCTCACAATCTTTCATGTTTCTTCTGACGCTGAGAACACGACGATTTCATTCCATGAATAAAATACTATGAAAAGACCTACAGATCTCTGCATGCCTCCGTATCTGCATCAATGCTCCTCCATGAAGATGCCTACAGCACTGAGTCTGCTTTTTATTTACTCGATACCAAAGAAATTTCTCACGAAGAAGATAATCTTCTCAAACCTCATTGGTCTGATTGAAGGCCTGGAATTTACACATTTATGATAAAGGTGGCTGGACCTTTTTCTTTTTGGGTATTCAGACATTTTTCCTCTAATCCTAAAGGCTTCTTCAGCCCTATATACCATGGTGGTTGGGGTTACAGTCTGAACCTCCCTGACCAATGAGAGACAGTCTTCCCCACCTGGAGATCATCAGACTGTCTGATAGCTGAGTTTAGCTCAAAGGGTCCAAGCTGTGAATGGCTGGAACCTCCTGGAGGAGCTGGGAGGTGATAGCAGAGTCCCCCTCCTCTGTTAAAGACGGCTTCCTTTCCTCCTCTCTCAAAACCTGCGTCCAGATGTGGACCTTACTGTCCTCATAGAGGGTCCTTTTCCTTCAGCGGCTTAGTTTTGACCACAACAACCGGATGGTTGCTCTCTGCTCCGTTTGGGGTCTGTTGGGTGGAGCAGCCTCTGCCTGAGGGGCGGGAAGTCTTTGGAGAGGATCCTTCGGCCACATATGGCATCACAACACGTTCTTCTTCTCTTTTTGGAGAGTGTGGTTGGGTCCAGATGTCCAGAGGGAGACACACAGGTTCGAAGAGCCTCCTTTGAGTGTTGATGCCACAATTTTGCTCAAAACTGAAGAAGTCTCAAAGACGATTCTTCTTGGAGATAATTTATTCGTCTTTCAAGACGAAGATATCCGCTTCCCCTTTTCACAGAGTTCTTAGGAGAGAGCCAAAATGAAGAATTACAGCAGTCCAGTCCTGAAGGAACAAATGCACTAAGAAGTTTCTGTGCTTCACTCTGAGACAGGACGCTCCACGTTGAGAGGGAAAAGAGACCCATTTTAATATGAGAGGACATAACTCAAAGACAAAAATGTAGGACAAACATTCCATGAAGCGAAATCAACAAAAACTCCAGCTGGTTAAATGTCAGCGATGTGTAAAAGGAGTGTTTATTCCAGGTCATGAACGGGTCTTTTGTCAGGTAACCATCTCACACCATTTAATTTCTGCAAACAAAAGCATGTTTGCATTTGTTCTTCTTCTACCCTTAGGGACCCTCAGTTTAAAGAGTGTGAATCCATTCCAGGATCCCTATAAATATCAGTCTTTTCTGCCTTTTTCTGGGAAAGGTTCCAGCTCCTTAAAATCTCAGGACGCAGACATGTTAAAATGTGTTGCCTTCAGGGGCCGCTGAGCCCGATGTGGTGCTGTTTGCCAGGGTGGAGCAGTACAACAGAACCTCCACCATAATGTAACAGTGGTCCAAAGAAGTGATCTTTCTGCTTGAAAAAGCTCTCATTGAGCGGATGGAGGGCAGAATATGTCATCTATCATCAACACATTTTCCATCTCTTCAAACCAGGTGGAAGAATAAAGCCATTACAGGTCATGAATACATTCCAGCACACCAAACAAGGATAAAACAGTCTTTGAAGGTTGATCAAGCTGGTGCTAGCTTTGAAAACAAGCCGTCATTTAGTCACTCATATGAAGTCAGATGGACCTTAAATGCAGTTTTATTAAAAGGTTTCATGATATATATAACATATGTGTGTTATTTTTCCTTCCTTAGAGCATTTAACACTGTAGTGTGTCTATTTGTGTGAATATTCTGTTAAATAAGACAGATATGAGGGTTTGAACATCGAGTGCTGCTAAACATGGCCGGGCATTCTTCAACTTTGCTGCACTTGACTGTTTGCATTTCCACTTGCTGACGGTGTTAAAAAAAGTCCTTCATGGTCCCCCGGGAGACAGCAGAGGGAGCGGAGAGGCACCCTGTTACCATCCCCACCCGCTCATCCAGACTCCAGCGTCAAGAATGTGAAACAACAGGCCGGGCCTCCTCCACAAAGCCCTGCAGCCACTCCTCTGCCGGAGCCCCGGCCGCTCCTCCTGCGAGCCGAGGCCCAGCAGCAAACAAAGGCCGCCGCTGGTAACCCGAGACAGTCCTCTGCTCCCAGTGGAAGTCCCTCAGCTGGGACCCGACGTGTCTGAGATCAGTTACTGCAGAACGATTTTAAACCCACATGAAATTTCATGCATTTTGGTTGGTTTGACTGCACCTGATTATAGTTATGTTTTGAAATAAAGCACCTAAAAGGAAGCATTCTTTGAAAAATTGCATTAAAAATATACATATTAACCCACATTGCATAGTTTTTTCTGAGAGACATAGCAAATCAAAGTCACACTTGTCCACTGTATTGGAATCCTTTCAGTTTATTTAGTGGAGACTACGTCCATTTGCCTTGTTACAAAATAAAATAGCCCTCACTCGTGTTTGTAGAACGGAAATAATCAGTCCAATAGATTTGCGCACACGCTGTCTGTGCACTTTTGTCGCCCCCGTGCGTGGAAACGGCTCCAGTGCACCGCATTGCCGCACGAAATGCCGGCAGAGCCCAATTTCTAAAACCATCGCATCGTGCACCATGCGATGTGATTGGCCTGCTCGAGAAACCAGCGAGCAATATAACCTGTAACGATTGGCTGTTCTTGTGGAATTCTTACTAGTCTGTCACGCTATTGGTCAACTTTTTGTCAGAGCTGAATTCTATTGGCTGGAAACCGTTGAAGAGGCGGGACCTCACGTTTGGTTGCAGGGGTGAAACCGGTACCCGGGCAGTCCAGCACGTTGTGAAGCCGCTAGTGGTGTGGCTGCCGCTACGGTGTGTAAGAAAACCTTACTTGTTACGAAACAACGTCTTTTTTTAAATAACTGACTCATTGGTAAGTTTTTATACTATATCAGATCTTATATTTGTATCAGAAATGTCCAGTCTGACGCGCTACCTGCGTTGTTTTACCGGGTCCGGGGCCTGTCTACGTACTGGTATTGAGACGTTCGTTGTTAGCTTCCGTTGACATTGTAACCCAATTATCACGTGTAATGTCTAAAATTGAGAAATAATTTCAATAATAAATGCTTTGCAAATTCAATAGCACGACGTAGTAGCTCGGAAGAGGTATACATGTTGGATTTTATGGACTACATCGAGTGCTTGGTTTCACTTTGAGGGTTCAGGAAATACCCACCGCCCGTGTGTAGCTCACACTTAGCCCCGTTTCAGTCGTGACTCCCCTCGTTGTGGTGTCGTATTCATTCCCCGGAATGCTTATAAATGTGACTCGTTATTGTGTTTCTTGCATTACAAAAAGCTAATATGGGGGGTTTCGAGCAGAAAGCCGTCCAAATGCCGGTCGGAGGTGTGGGAGTGCGGCCGGAGAGCCGCGGGGACACGTGCTAGTGGCTCCTCCTGAGCCGGGACGCTCGCCTCTCCTGCCCTAGTTTGGAGGGCGGCGGGCTCTCAGCTGTCACGGCTTTGCACCGGAACGGGGCCTGTCGGCGAGCCCGGGTTATATCTGGACACGGTCGAAGAAAACCGGACCCCCCCCTCCCTCCCTCCCCCCCATAAGTCCCGTTGAGTTGGCGGCGCCGCCATGACGGCAGCGCGTGCAGGCCGGTGTCTCCCGCGAGCGGCACCGTCTCTCCCGGCGCGAGGTGGCCTTTGTCTGCGTGCCGCACGTGCTACTTTCACACCGGCCTCCTTCTTAAAGGGGCTAGAAATGGCGTCCATTGTGTTTCTGTTGGTGAAAGTGAGTCTCTGCTCCCCCCCCTCCCCGGTTGCTCCGGGCCCTTGAGCCCCAGCTCAGCGGGAGCTCGCCGGACGGCTGTGCGCGTGGGGTCGGTTAATCCCACCGGTCGCGTGGCGGTGGTGGAGAACGTGCCGGAACAGCAGATGGCTCTCTCGGTTTCGTGGACAGGTGTGGCCGGCGGACCACAAGATGAGACCACCGGTTCCCTCTGACACCCAATACTTCCTCAAATAGCCACGCTTAGGAATTCATTTGTGTGCGTGTTTTTTTTCCCCCCTTCCGGGCAGGGATGGGTTTTAATTCATGTCAGGATGGAATAAAGAATAAAAAAAAAAGCACAAGCAGGGACTTGTAGCTGTATTTAAATATGTGCTCAGTTAAGTTTAATTAGGTGTTGGAAAAGGGGGTTCTTGCATCTGGAAAAAAACCTTACGGCCATATTGGCGAAATCCTCCTTCAATTGCATTATTTAAAAGTTTGATTTTAAGATCAGGGCGTTTTCAATTGGTTGTTTTTTTTTGTCCAGAACAAGCTCAGCCGGTATCACGATCACTTAACTCATCAAGAGCTGCATGATCTAACAGGAGAAAGAAGGCTAAAAACGGGGCTTGAACCCGACAGAAATGGAGCACGGTGGCCAGTGTTACAGGGCTGAAAACTGCCTACGGGTCAACAGGAAGGACAGAATTGGAGCCAAACAGCTGTGGCATGTAGTAATAAATCAGGAATTACTAATAACATGGGACATTTTGAGCAGGAAACCTGCTGGAAGTCACGGGAATGATTTATCACTCCTAAAAAAAGAGCGTTTCAGGAGTTCAAAGCCAGAAACGGCTTCAAACTCAAACTCCTTCATAACTGACATTAAGTTAACATTAAGAGATCGATTTTTGATGGCATCCTGAAGATATGTTGTGGTTTCCGTCCCTTTGTGGCCATTTTGCACTACTTCTGTTGGGGTTTTACTTCGGGTCCATCTACAGGCTGCAGGCCTCTGCTCGGCCACAGAGGGCCACCACTCAGCAGCCTGTGCACCATCACACACAGATGAGGTCAAAGGGCTTTCTGACCGCCTGGCTGTGACGGCCTAACTTGGGATGAATGGAGGGAATGGCTGAAAAGGCCCATAAAAGACCGCCCGTGTAAATGTACACGCCCTTATATAGTGCTTTCCCAGTCAAACTGAACATTAAAAGCAATTTACACCACACGACGTTGACCTTTCACACACCCCACAACTTGGGGTTCAGGGCCTTGCCCAAGGACTCTGACATGTGGCCCAGATGGACATGGAGTTTAACCCCTGACCTTCCAACCGGTGGCGACTGCTCTTTCCTCCCGAGCCGCCGGTTGAAATGGAAAGGTGGCGTTTCCTGATTGGCTGATGTTTATGATCATTAACGTGCCGTTAGCCTTGAATTGCTAGCTGCGGCTAATGGTTAATAATAACACACCAACATTTAAAGCGGGCCACCGGCAACGCTAACATCAGTAATGGGTCAGTTTGAAACCAAAGACACCAGCCTGTCGAAATCCAGTAAAATTTGGGGGTCTTTATCCTTGTATTGAAATGGTATCGAATCGTTTCCTGAGTATCGATATTGAGTCGAAAATTTGAGTATCGTGACAACCCTACTGGACATCCCTCCTCTGGGGGAGCAGAGTGAACTGGTCCTTTTGGTTGAGTGCAGGAACCAGGTGTGATGGTTCAGTCTGTGGTGGTTTTTGGAGCCCAAACAAAACCATATGAGAGCCGATGTCCGGCTTTGTTTTCCACCCTGGGAGCTGGCTCTGGGAAACAGGCACATCAGGAGACGAGTCAGAGCATCGTTTGTTGGGATCTGCTCTGAATCTGCATCGGTGGCCGTTTTGGGATGCAGCTGCTGGTTTTTTAGGACGTGCTCGTGCTTTCTGTTTTCACCAGATCAGGAAAAACATCCTCTCCGGGGACTTTTAGAAGTTTGTGTGAAATGTCACCGGCTGGTTTCTCTGGTAGGGCTGAGTGTCATCGGCACAGTGAGGGAAATGCTCTGTTTCTAGTGAAGCTTGGAGGTCTTTCTACAATAAAATAGCTTTGGAATTAATTAATTAGGTCTTAGTTGGGGTTTACATTAGGGATGTCCCGATCCAGCCTTTTGCACTTCGGATCCGATCCCGCCTATCAGAGCATGTGTTAAAGTCTGGATCGGCCTTTTCTCCTGCCAGCAGATACGCACTTTTTTGGGGGGATTTTGGCATCCGATCCAAAGAGGCCTAGTTTCTAACCCTTTTATTAACCACGCACCTTTTATTAGACTCTTTATTATAAACCGGCCGTTGGGCCGACTTGTTCCCGGGGCTGTTTCTGACTTAAATCTGCCGTCTCCTCCGCAGAGATTTCCAGTTGACCAAAGAAATGGTGATGGAGAAGCCAAGTGCCCAGCTGGTCGGGCGAGAGTTTGTCCGACAGTATTACACACTCCTGAACCAGGCCCCCGACTACCTGCACAGGTGGGTTCGTGTGCCCCCTCCCCGCCGGAGGCCCTTCTTCCCGCTTTGTGTGGCGGTGGGACTGACGGCCCCTCCCTGTCTGTGCTCAGGTTCTACGGGAAGAACTCCTCCTACGTGCACGGTGGCCTGGACAGCAACGGCAAGCCGGTGGAGGCCGTTTACGGACAATCCGTAAGTCTATCTCGAGTTTTTCCATAAGTGAAGCAACAAGGGAAGCTTTTCTTCTGTTTTTTCTTTTTTTTTTTTTTAAGGCCTACCCTGTTTTTATTCAGTCCATTTGACCGATTTCAAGCGTTAAAGCCTCCACATTAGGTTTCTTCTGTACATTTGCCTAAAAGCACACAGCTGATTCTGTACAAACACATCAACATATGAGCCTCTGATCCAAACGAGAGTCCAGAGTTCCCGCTAGTTCTCCTCCAGAATGAGGCTTCTTTTCCTGGAAACGAGCTCCGTTCCAGCATCCATTCCACAAACGAAGGGAAACTTTGTTCTGACGTGTTGGAACAAGCTGACTAAAAGCTGGAACTCAGAGCTGTGGGATCATTCCAGACTTCCTGCTTTAGAAAACAGTCCCTTTGCCTGTTTTCTTCCATTTAAAAAAAAAAAAACAACAACCCTGAAATGCTTTCAGATCAGCACCCAGATGAACTCTGAGGTGTAGCAGTCGGGGGTTTAGAAAGTGTGGTCATTTTATGAGAAAGCAGAGCAGATCAGACTGATATGAGAGGGTTAGAGGAGGGCTGGGAATGGAGCATAAGCAGGGTTAAAAACAGGAGGGTTTTTGTTGGGCCGCTGTAAAAACTATGAAAACGGGGGGGGGGGGGGGGTGGACCAGCTCTCTCCTGGTAAAGGTGGAATTATTTAAATTTTTACGGCCTTCTGAAGGCCTGGGTTGAAGCTCAAACCGTGTTTTTGAAGTTTCTGATTGTCTTTTTCTGAAGGAGATCCACAAGAGGGTGATGGCCCTGAGCTTCAGGGACTGTCACACCAAGATCCGGCACGTGGACGCCCACGCCACCCTGAACGAGGGCGTGGTGGTGCAGGTGATGGGCGAGCTCTCCAACAACATGCAGCCCATGAGGAAGTTCATGCAGACCTTCGTCCTGGCCCCCGAGGTCAGTGCACAGGCTCAGCCAGAGCCGCCCGCCCGCCCGGCCGTGAGCTCTTCTCTAACCGGGGGTGCCTTTTCCCATTTGTTTTTCTATATTCAGGGGACGGTTGCAAACAAATTCTACGTCCATAACGACGTGTTTCGCTACCAAGACGAGGTTTTCGGGGACTCCGACTCGGAGCCACCAGAGGGTGAGGACCTCCTCTCAGTGTTTCACTGGTTTTTCATTTTTTCAAGTCCATCAGGGGAAATCTCTTTGTTTTGTGAGATTTTGGCAGTTTTCAGTCACATTTCAGGTCAGAGATTGGATTGAAATCTTGTTTGCTTAAAGCTAAAGCT